TGCTTTATATCCCTTGCCTTTAACTATATCATAGTAAGTAATAAAGGGAGATTTCAGTTTTAAACTCTCGCAAGTCTGTAATTTGGCATTATATATATTTCTTTTATAAGCCGCCACTGCTTTATTGTAGACTTGGCATTTATCTTCCCTCTCTTGATTCCTTGCATTTTGATAGTTTTTGCGCAATTTCTTTAGCTGTCTTTTTTCCTGTGTGAGAGCATGTCTCCACCAAGTTTTTGTAGTTTTGTGTGTTTTATTAGATGGTAAATGCCTTAAATGTCTATAATTTTTCTGAAATTTCTTTAATTGTACAATTAATTTCTGTATCAGAATTCAAATTAAATTCTGAACAAGAAAGATCTGTTATCTCCTGCCTTAATGTAAGTCATTAAGAGTTTTCAATTCTCATTTTGAGTCTTTGAGAAGTAGGCCCCATATCCATATGAATTTCAAAATGAACTGCTTTAAGGCCCGTTTCCACTGCTGCGTATGCGTTTCTCCTTTCAGCGAGCGAATTCACTTTGATTGACGTGTGCAATCCGGTTGATGTGCAGTGACGGATGACGTATGGATGGAGTTCAACTTCTATCCGTATGTCTGCAGATGGGTTGGGGTCATGTAGTAAAAAAGGAGCAATCAGGTGTAGTAACCAAAAATTAATGGCCGCAGAAGTAGCAATGAACGCTCGCTTAGGGAAAGAATGTTTTGCTAAAAATACTTATTTCTGAATTAACATTATAGCGAGAAATCAGCTTAATTTAGTTAAAAAAAGATAAGAAAAATAAGATAACTGCAACTACAGTACTTGTTCGCAGATAAAATCAGGCGTTCAAGAAATTCTGTTCCAGAAAATCAGTGGCAAAAATTATAATTCCAAGTCCATGAAATAGCAAAATTTGTCCTGACAATTATTTCCTAGTTCTGCATACTCATTTACCTTTAATGAAAATAAATGTCTGACTATATCAAACTGCTATAGCAAATCAGATATAATTAAAAGTCGCCGCAGATAACTATTGGAAGATCGCCTGCATAATTTATTATTCCCTCTAATGTAATTAATACCGGATCAATTTCTGTGCTTGATGAACAGTAGACTGAGATTAATATAAAAGAGGGTGATCCTTCTACTTTGATTACTGTTATTTTCTTCATTGTGAGAATCTGAAGGATTGAAAAAGAGCCTTCTTTTACAATTATTGCAGCTTGTATTTAGTGAGAATAGATCCTATATCATTGTGAAAAGCCACTTACCACATTTCTAATGAGGTAAGGTTCTTGCATGAAAGCTCTTTTTAAATTTGGAATATTTTCAATGTCAACTTTTAATTTTGCACTTGCACTCCACGAGTGCTTTAAATTTAATTGGGTTATTTTAACTACGTTCATAATTAATCTTTTTAATTAACAGATCCATTTCTCTTTGTTTACTTGCACAATTTTTACTTACACTACTATGATTGATATCCAAATTCAAATGATAATGCGTATTAGCATGCTTGCAGTTAACACATTTTTCTTGTGGAGAATTGCATTCTTTATTAAGGTGTCCTCTGTTATCACATTCGAAACATCTTTGTTTTTTACCTCCACTAAACCTTGCAAATAGTTTTCTATATTTTGTGATTGTTCTAGTTGTCCTTCAAGTTGCGCTACTACTGCATTTTGTTTTGTTACAATTTTGAAAATATACAAGAAATATTAGAGAGTTTCTTTGAAATAGTCTCATGAGAAAGGATACCTTTTGAACTTTCTAAGCATACTTAAATGCAGAATCAGTAAATTCACTGGCACAAGAGTTTTGGAAGCAAAATTAGGACATTACAATCTTGTCCATTTGAAACGTACATGTTTCTGCACATGGAATTTAAGAACTTTTAAGGATCATTGATGAAAAAAATTAAGGACCCATCAAAAAATGGGACCTGAATAAATTCAATTAAAGATATTAGCTATGCCTGAACTTCACTTAAGTGATACCGTTGTAAGAATAAAACAGATGCACAAGTATAATGCATTATTATTAAACATAATTATAACACAAATTTGTGAATAAAATCAACTTTATAAAATTTATCAGGTAGCATTAAATATTTTACCCTTATAAAAGAAGGGCAAATTTGAAAGAAGATTAGTGACATTTTATTTACGTATTACTAATTTAGCTTTATGTTGATATTTTTCTTATTTGTATCATTTTGTCACGTACTTGCTCAGTTCACAGGTTTAGGAATCTAGCTGCTATTTACCAGGTAGATTTTATGTCAAACGGCACAGGTTAAATTGAGAAGCAAAATCATAATCAGCATGATTCGTTACAGAAGACTAGCTGTTCCCACCGCTACTATTTGTCTAGAGAGAGGCCTGTCACCAGAACAAACCTGAAAGCCTTATGTAGGCACGCTTGGCAAGTTTTGAAAAGTTAGTTGTGCTCTGGCTTGTCTGACGCAGTTTTTGTCATAACTTCGAGTTCCTGGGGCTGTAACCCAGTTAATCCTTTGGCCTATAACCACAAGTCTGACTCGTGGTAAAGAATTTGTGCCATAAACAAAAGCCACTAGTTTGACTCATGGTAAAGAATTTGTGTCATAAACAAAAGCCACGAGTCTGACTTCTGCTGAAGAATTTGTGCGTAAAATGCCGCGTATTATTTTTAGAACAAGCGATTGGAGTTATTCTACATCGAATATTTTTCCTTTGATTGTAACATCAATATTTTGCTTTGTTCAGTTGTTTCTGACGAAACTTTATGTATGATATTTTACTTTAGTTCCCCGTAAAGCTTTGCTACATTCACAGGTTTCAAATATACTTTCATATAAAGAATTAAAAAACTCTTAACCCATCATGCCAAACTCTCATACCCATCATAACCATCATGCAATTATTTTTCTCAACTGATCAATTGGTTATGATTACACCCTAGACATTTTAAAATTACTTTTGTACAAATTACCTTTAGAGCAAAGGCTGAAATTATAAACAACTGTTTAATTTACATAATAATAACTCTATAAATCTTTGAAGAATAATTTCCTTTCTCTTTATGTATTCGGTTTCTTTTTTTTTTATTATGTTTCCTCTTCATTTTAGAATTTTTAAATTTAATTAAAGATTTCTGCTATTCTAAAAAAATAAATGCATGTAGATTTTATAGGAAAAGGTGTTGATTTTATTTCTTAGGTAATGTGAACATTCAGAGTAAATATGAAATGATTTAGGGTAAGGGCCGGTTACAGAACCGGTGTAGGAGAATTTTTAGAATTTAGTAACACACCGAGAAAAAATCAAGAAGTGGCAAAATTTTAGAATTTAGGATCCACAGAGATTATATCAGTTGGGAAAATGCATAGCACCAGCCTTGTGTTTGATGCAAAAACTGTAGCTATAGTTATCAGTGCCCAGGAACAACTGAAGATTTTGCGTCCCCTCCTGTATGTTAAGAATGAAAAGCATTTAATTCTAAAATTTTGTAACATCAATTTGGCATCCTATAGATGCTACGCCTGGAGACAGATGTCCCCCCTTTGCCCCACCCTAGCTATGCCACCGACGATGCATTGAGACTTATAAGAATAGGATGATGCATTAAGATGTATAAGATGCATTGATACATACAAGATAATTGTCAGTTTTCAATTTTTTTATTAATAGAAAAATTCCTTTCTATAAATGCCTGTCCATGTGATAAGATTAGAAGAATTTTTGATATTTTCCATGCTTGTGTCTACTGAAAAGCAGAGAAAACACTGAGAAGATAAACATATTACGAAAAAGACTTCTAGTATCAAAAGTAAAATATTTAAATGTTACGTTTTCATTGTTTTTCAGAAAATCCTCCACAAAGTAAAAGTTTATCACAAACTTTCTGTAAAATACATCCATTACGTGTTAATATCATGAAGACATTTGTCTGGAATCTTCTAGATTTGTGGGTCTGTAAATCTTGCCTTAAAATCCTTCTAAACTTTGTAAGTTACAGTGTCTAAAGTCCTTAAAAAAATTACTCCTACCAATTCTGCAATAGCAAAAAGGGTTGAAATATTTAAAAAAAAAATCAGAGGAAAACGTATTAAATTAATTTTATAGAAAAAAATGACATGGGAAAACTCTTAATTAAAATGTAATGAAAAATTACAATGAAGGCAGTTTTAATTAATTACATAACTGTTTTGCTTTTTCTAAGAATTGTTTCATAAGTTGTGCTAAATCGGAAAGCAGTTATTACCTTGTTTATTTTTCAAATTCAAAATATTGTATAAAGTTGACTAAATCGAAAGTAATGTCACTTTATATGATAGCCAAAAATAAAAATGTTTAATTTTAATGTTGTTTCTTGAATACAATTTCAATATATTAACATTATTTTAATAAAATTTATCAATGTTATATTTTTAAAAAAAGATAGTCAAAAATTCCCAGATTCCCGAATTAAAAGTTTTTTTTATAGAAACTGATCTTAAAATTGCCAAATTTGGAACCGTTTAATAAAGAATTTACATTTCCAAATGCGAAGAGTTGTTTAAGAGCTCTTAATTAGAAAAAATGAAATAATTTCGAAATGCTTTGCTTCACTTCTTGCTCAGAAACTTGAGTATCCCACTGTTTATATTAGAAATAGGAATAAATTATAACCCATGAACCTATTCACCCATTTAAAAGATAAGTATATTTGTAAATGAATCGCCAAAAATATTTGTCCAAAATGCTAATTCACATTCAAAATGGCAGTCTTAAAAACAGACAGAAATTTTAGCTGATAAAAATTGAGGACCTCCTGCCAAATTTTATCGAAATTAAGGACTTTTAAGGACCAAAAATCAATTCCAAAACAATGCAGGACTTTTAAGGACCGTACGAACTCTGGTTAATGCTACTGTCCTTAGCACTAGTGTCTGTTATAACTGAATCTGATATATCTCCATGTATATTACTATAATGTGATTTTGAATGTTATGAAACAGATCTTTATGTATGTGGAGTTAAAAATGAAGGCCTACCGCTATCTGCACATGGTGGATCTTCTTGTGTTCGGTGTTCTTCTTGGATATCTTCTTGTGTTCTGTGTTTTTCGTAGCTGCCATAGTTAAATAATAACTCCTATTAATCCTCCTTTAAACGATTACAAAATATATAGTCAAATTACTACTTAAAAAGAGACGAAATGATGATAAATGATACCACTCAACAATAACGATGCTAGAAAAGAAGTTTTACAGGCAAATTGAAAGCCAGGTAAGTATAAACTTTATTAATTTTAATGATAATATTTTAGTAAGTGGAGTCGTTGAGATCCTTTTTCAAAAGTTTATTATTATTAAATAAATTATTAATGTGAAGAATTTTAGTATAAAGTATTTATTTCCTATAAAATTAAATTTTGCATGCACTATTATACTTTATGAGTGTTAGTATTCAACAATGTCTGGCAATCAAATTTAAAAATAAATAGAATTTAAAATTTGATATTTCAGGAAATATCTATCACAAATTAAAGTATTTCCTCCCAAAATTTAGATCTTATGAAAGAGCAAAGATTTAGCTATTCAAAGATATAAAAATTACTACTTGACATTACAATTTTTTATCAGTAAAGTTTAAATTTAAAAGTTCAAATATGTGATATTAATATGTAATAAAGTATATGTAAATATAAAGTTCAAATATGTAATAAAGTATCAAAATATTGAGAGAATGGCTTTCGAAAAATTTTAAAATAATAACACCAAGCAAAAACTGGAATATATTGAATAATCCTTTACAACAGTAATATTTCCTATATAAAACCTACGAGACAATAGAAAAATATAAGCTATACAACTTTGCAAAATTAATAAATGAAATTACATTTTTAGTACATTGAATTCAAATTTAAAGAATTTATATTGTCATTAATAGCCGTTAAATGACGAGACAACGTTAAAAAAATACTTTTAATATGCAGACTTCAAAAGTGAATAATTTTTGAAGATGTTGACTTACAGACATCAAAATTATATGAAATGAATGCTTCACCTCGTTAAGGACTTTAGATTGATATTAAATTGATCAATATAGGGCCAGTTTTTACATGATTAGGTAGTCTCTTGTAGGAACACCATTCATATTGAAAGAGAGCATTGAAGCGGAGGTTGAAAGACCATTGTCTCCTGGACTAATGAACAATGGGCATCTGTTCTCTTCACATATAAGTCCAGGTTCACAATGGAGAGTGATTTAGGTTGTCAGCTGATTTGGAGGGAACAAAACACCAGATAGTACCAATCCCACATTGTTGAAAGGCACAGTTACAGAGGTGAGGGAACAATGGTTTGGGCTGGGTTCTTTCTCCGTGGTCTGACCTGCATATGTTCCATGGAGGAACTTTGACCAGTGTGAGATATAAGACAAGATCCTTGATCAACATGTCTGCCCATATGCTGCTGCTATTGGTCCTGGATTTTTTCTGATTGATGGCAATGTGCGATTGCACCGAACTTGGGTTGCTGAAGAATATTTTGAGGGTCACGGTATAGCTCCTCAATCCACAGACCTGAATGTGATACAGCATCTTTGAGACTACCTTGGGAGACAGGTTGCTGCTTTAAGTCCTCCTCCAAGATTGTTAGATGAGCTTTCATATCTGGTCATTGCTTCCCATTTCATTGGCCAACAACTTAATTGACAGCATGGAACATTGCCGTCGGCAATGTATTGCAGCTAGGGGTAGACTTATTTCTTATTAGAACCCATTTTGTAATATTACCACCCTATTTTTTCACAAAAAACTGTGATATACTGTTTCTTCAAGACTGGATTTCCCTGCCAAAAGTGAAATTTTTTGCTGTAGTTCATGTGTGTTGAACTTTAGAAACATTCTATGTTGAATTTATTAAACAACTGTTTAGTGAACATATCCTGTGAATTTCTTGTTTTTATGTTGCTTCATAGAAACTATTCCCTTCCTCTAGAAATAATCTGAGGATTTAACACATTGAGTGCGGTTCTGATCCCTAACTGTTAACCTACTGAACTTTCTGTTCGGCCAACGTCGGTAAACTTTCTGACTCACCGGCATCACCTTCTAGGGACCAACAGTATCAAAGTTAAGAAACAAATGTAGTAATTTCAAGAAATTAACTAAAACTTATTTATTTTTAATTTATTGAAAATTATTTATTTTTTATTATTTTTGGCACTAATAATCCGAAAAGGATGTCTGATTGCCTTTTGGATGAAACCATTTATTTTGGTTTCATTTAGCACTTATGCCACAACGTCATTGTCAAGTTCCACTGTTGGTCTAATGAATGATCATCTTCCAACAATGACAAATGTAATACTCGGCTATGTTGATGTTTGGATGATAAAAATAATTCACTTGATGTATACCTATCTCTCTCTCTTCTGAATATTTCCAGTTTAGTGGACAATAAATACTTTCAAAAACAAACAAAAAATTTTCTATTCTTGAACCAGTCTACGCTTTTGGGTCCTTTTTTCCCTAACTACTCATCTTTGAGAAGTCACCTTTTTGCCATTCGTATATGTGTGCATTGGCTGTACCATTGTCTCAGCTTGAAAGAAAAATAAGAACATAAAACAAAGTAGTCCTCTGTTGCACTCAATGTGTTAATGTCCCCAGTCCTGTTTCATTTGACCACTCATTAGATATTTTATATAAATAAATGGCTTTACTTTTTAATTTAATTTATATTAGACAAATGAAATTGATTTAAAAAAATAATTTTCCTCTTAAGCCCGATAACTCTGTTAAAGCATACTGCAAATTTCAAGAGATGATCTTTACTCTATAACAAGTGTAAAAAATAGAGTAAAGGGAATTGTAAACTTTTTTTTTCAAAGAAAAATGATTAAGGGAGGGGGGGAAGTATTTGACAAATGCTTTGCCTAGAATGATATAAATCCAGAATCTTATAACTTCTTTATGGTTTGCCAATTATAATACAGCAACATGAAAACAATGCTGACCAACAAAAGAATAATATTGTTTTAACTTACCTCAAATAATAACAAAATTCCAAAGAATAATAACCAATGCCATAGTTCCAAAACCAATCATAACATTTCTGCAGCCAAGACACCTTTGTAATGGGCTGTGGTAAGAAAGAAGTTAAATTAAAATACTAAGGAATCAGCAACAAAGTCATATAGAATTATTAAAACAGTAAAAGTCTAAAAATCCCAGACCATCTAAAAATCCAACCTTCTTGGAAACTCAGAAGCATTCCACATTTGATAAGCCTTTGTTGGTGTAATTTCAAGCAAAAGAAGCTGTTAGATTAAATGAAAATAGCAAAGCTATTTGGCTATGGAACTGGTGTGCCTTTGCAGAGGACATTTTTATGGGAAACTGGCTCATATTCACATTACATATGAGGAAAATCAAAAATGCAACCAGTCTGCTTGTGTTCGAATCAGGTTGAATTACTAGTAACCAAATGGCTTAATCCTTTCAGCCACTAGAAAGGAGCATAAACAGAATGATAAATGAAAGCGTTTAACTGTCTAAGTAAGTAGTGCAGCATTTTGAATCTGCTAAAATAGAATTTCATTTTAAATAGCATTTATTAATTATATTAGTATAATCATTTATTGTACTCTTTGGTTTTACAATTTTCTATTCATTAAGAGAATATTTAGATTTCTAAGGAATGCAAGAAAACAAAATATTTTAATCAAGTTAATATATACAGAGTTGCAGGAAACCTCATGAGCGGATAAAAGTGATGATGATGCTCAGAGGGTTAAAGGTAATAACAGAAGTGCTGTGCAATGCAGCAGATTTACAAATACTGCAACTGTAAAAAAAAAAAAAAAAAAAAAAAAAAAAGCAAGCAAGCAGCATAACAGAAATTGCAAAAGATGATGAAGAATTTTAAATTTGTATTTTTACGTAAAATTACTCCACTATAGTCTGTTACTTTAGAATAGGATTTTAAAGAGTCATTTTCCAGACAATTTGCGTTAATTTTTTCCCCTTACTTTGTTTCCATTCAGCATGTTTCACTTCATGAAAATTATGAAAATGAAGATTGATTCGAACTAAGTATCAAATGAGGTGGAGGAAATTAGTAGTGTGATGATGATAATGACAAGTATTACAATTACAAATGGGAAGGGCTGCCTGCAGTCTTTATGTGCCTACTTTAGAAAAACAGACTACAATAAATTAAGAATCAATTTATATGTAAACTAGTTTTAAATTTATAAAATAAAATCAATTAGTAAAAAAATTAACTAATTTATTTATAAATTTTCCATAGCTGCCAACCTTGAAATATGAAAAATTGGGAGGTTCTTAAGAGTAAAGCAAGAGTTTTCAGAAAGTTTTCACACAGTATAGTGACATTTTAAAAGAATCCCAAATATATTGTTGCATTCTACGGGTTCATGGGTTTGGAGTGACTGACAACGACACTTGATGAAGAATCAAAGCACAATTTATTCTCACAATTTATCAAAGCACAATATTTTCCAAATGTGGCAACCCTGCTTTTCCTAGCAATTTTCTGGCAAACTTATAATTAAAGTTACTGAAACATTTATACTATGATTCTGATGTAAAATATATTAATATCTAATTGGATATTCTATTTTTTTTTTCTCTTTTATGCTGGCAAAATCCTGAAAAGGGAAGAAATGCTTCAATTTTAAAATTATGAAAAATACTTTTAAAATTATGAAAATAAAATTAATAGATAATATATTTACTGCTGTATGAATACACTTAATCTTTCTTGTATTAATAAAACAAAATTAAATGATTAAACATCACTCATTAAATGTTCATAAAATGTTCCATAAATATGCAAGTAGATTAAGACAATTTAAATCACAAAAATTTTAATTAAAAAATTATGCTCAAATTCGCTAGCAGTAGGAGAATGGAATTTACACAGTTTAATTTATTGATGATAAACATTTTTCTTAGTTAAAACTAAAAATTAGAAATTGGGTGATTTGATTTCCAGGAGAACTAGATAGTTAGCAGCTATGAAATACTACTTCCATTTGTATGTAGTAATTTTACTTTATACTATTCATTTCTTAAAAATGATGTCACACATAATATGCTTATTTTTGTAAAAATTTTCCTACTTTCATTTTTGTTGGCTCACTTTTTTTCTATAAAATGTTTACATTTTCATAATTAAGGCAGTCTAGTTAATATACACATTTTCTGGCTCATCTGCAGTTTACTCAATTCTGAATTTGAACTTTAAAAGCATTGCTTGAGAATTCCAAAAACATGATCACCTCAATCTCAAAGTTGGATTTTTAGATTTACATTACAAATACTCTTGCAAGTACTTTGATTTAAAAAACCAAACAGATACATTGAAATCCACTATAACAAAAGCTACACATCATAAAAACTTAACAGTAGAGTTTGGTAAAAATCTAAAAGAATTCCAATATTCTTATAAAAAAGAAAACGTAACAAAATGTTCCACTTTCTAGAACATAAATTTCTTGTGCTTTATAACTAACATTTGCACACTGGAAACACAAAAGCATGTCATCATAGAAATTGGATTATTATCTTAGAGTGAAATACCTTTTCTGACTTTAACAGTAAAAATTTCTTACCAACACCTCAATTTGCATATGTTTTAACACAAGAAATGTTTATAATTTATACTTTCTATTTTGTTCATAGCACTAAGTTACTTTATAAAAGCACTTATCCTCCACCCAGCTTGACAAGGTTGCCATTTCATAAGACAAAAGATTATTTTCCACACAGTCTGGTAAACAAAAAATTCACAGTTAATTTGACATAACACCTTTAATTTACCTTTCAAATTATAATTATTGCTGCTTAACACATAAGTGCTATGTCAGCCATTGGTGATTGGCCCTATACTTTGTTTGCATTTCATCAGTCACTGGTGACTGACAGCATGTTTTCCATTCGGAGGCTACATCAGTCACTGTTGACTGATATTACACAAGTTAGAGAAATCACATTGTTCCATTAAATTCTGTACAGATCTCTGACTGCCCGCATATCAGTGAAATTTAATATTAAGGACTAAACACACAGAAAAACAAAACATGCTTAGCACTTAACATGGTAATAATCTGAGCTATTATTACAATGTATGCTTTGGAATATCTTTATTTTTTAATAATATACCTGACATAATTTATAAATAATTTAATTGATACAATTTATAACATGTCTAACTGATAATTTATAAGAACATTTACATGATTACTGTAACTGCTAAAAGATGTTTCCTACACCACATATTATTAGTTTTTTTGTTTGTTTTGTTTATGCCTTTTTACTTTCTTTAATGATTGAAAGTTATTGAAAACAGGGACTAAAATAAGTAATTATACAAGTTTAGCTATTAAACGCATTTTCAATATGGTTTTCATGAGCCGACACAAAAACCTATGCACTTGGAAGGTTAATGGTAAATGGACTAACTTTTTATATGGCTATTAAAGCTATCAGAAAAGATGTCCTTATCAAAATTTTCATATTAGAATATCAAAATAATTATTAATATAATGTAAAGTGCATTCAGCACGAAAAATAAGATACACAATAAAGTATATGTGTAAATTTAATAAGATTTCCTTATGTAAGGAAGAGTTTCATAAATAATGTGAAAAAAGAGATATTCAATAACATTCTGTAAATAAATAGCTACCTTAAAAAATATGCTTTTCTGTTTCCCTCATATTGCACATGTGGAAAACAACATTAAATGTAAATGAAAATGTATCAGTCCTCAATCTATTAACTATTAACCAGTTAGTTAACCTGTTAATTTTTGTTTGTGTGCTTTATATGTACACCATTAGAAAAATTCTTGGTTTGATTGTAGGATTGCCTAATTTCTCCATTACTTTTATTATTTTAGCCATATTTTATAAATTCACTTAATTTACATTGGTTGTAACCAATAGTGCTAACAATCTAGCTAATCACGTAATGCAGAACCAGTTTTTAGACTTTTGATGATTTAAAATTATTTTCAGTTCATTGTCCCTTCCTTACATTTTTTTGCTGATATATTTGCTTTCAAAATATATTGTTTTTTGAATATTTTTATTGCTACTTTGCAAAACAAACTTAAAGTTCAACTTCAACAGTTAAAAAAAAAATATCCAACATATAATACTGAACAACTGCAGCTTATTGATAACAATTTATACTTGGAACAGAAGGCAAAACATTTCTCTGAATCATTCTATCATCTTTCAAAGTTTTTTAAAAGATAATTCATGTAACAAAAATAATTCAGGTAATTTTAGTGGAGCATATTAAATTTACAGCATTGGTTGCATTTTAATATTGCCATGATTGCTCAAAACTTTTATAGAAATTTATTGAAAAATTTTTAATTAATCAATTTAGAAACAAATAGGTATGGTAAACATTTTCAGAACAGTATTCTTTGAATGTATTCCAGAAGTAAAATTATGAAAAAATGTTTAAAATTGAATGTAAATCTGAAAGCAAAATACTATAAATTTAGAACATACCTTAGAGTACTCATTTTGCTGTACCGTAAATTACAACATATAAAATCTTCCAAAAGAAGGGAGATAGATGTTAAAAAATTTGAAAAACTATTTTCTTTATATTTATGGCTGTAAAGTAAGCATTACTACATAGTATATCTGTTAAAAAAAATGTCAGTATTAAAGAAAAGACATTATTTCATTCTGACTGAAAATTAATTTAAATATTTAAATTTCATAGTTACAAAAATTTAATTGGAGTTTCAGTTTTGTAGAGGGGAGGAAATTAGAAATTTTTGGTATTTTCTGAATATCAGCCCCATGATCAAAATGTAGTGAAAAAATACTGATGAGGCAATGCTAAAAAGTTGCTAAAAAGTATTTATGTGGCAACCCACAATATCGACAAAAAACAATTATGCGCACATGTGTTTGAACGCATGTGGATTTGTACTTTGAAATTCAATGGTTCCTTATAAGTATTTATTTTACATTCAGAATATTAGTTTTTCTCATAATGAATCATAATGGGACTGTGAATTTTGGCATCTGATGAGAGAGAGAGTACTGCATTTCTTCCGAAATATGGCATTTTGCCCAAGAAAAGAAATTAAGAAACTTGTAACAAAGCTGTACTTCTTAAACAACTGAATTTTATGGAAATGCAATGTGAAAAATTCCAAGCAAAGAATTAGAATGCAGGTTGGAAACTGGCTTGATGATAGCAATGCCTTGTTTACAACAGCTGTATGCTTTATTTATTATTGGACAAAGATATTCAGAAATTCATCAGAATAATACTGTTAAAAGGGGACTGGAATTACACGCAAACACAATAATTGATTGGCATGATTAACTCAAAGAAATGTGTGTATCTTCTATGGAAAAATATGCAGAAGCCTCGTATATATAATTAATGAAAAGTTCCAGTGCTGTGAGAGTGGATATGTGTGGTCATGTAGAGGTCAAGTAAGAGAGTGTTAAACAAGCTATTATGTAACTCAAACAAATCTGTAAATATATTTTGCTTCATAAAGTAGAATTAGAAGAAAATAAGCATGTTTATTCAGTGTAACATGACATAAAAAACACCGATGCGATGTTTATTACATCAAACAAATTAAATTTATGCAAGAATACCCAATCAAATATTTCTCTCCAAAATCAGTGTGACTTTTCAAATGGGATGCAAGTAATCAGCAAATGTACACAAAAATTTTCTTACTTTTTCAGTCCTTTGAGAATGGCAAACTACTACACCCTCTGTGTATGGAAACCACATGAATCTGAAGTGATCAGAACCTTCAATATGCACATCGAGATGTTCAATCACCTTTAAAAATAAATATAAAATATGTAAAAGTAATTTCATTAGACAGACAAAATGTAAGTTTAAAAAATAATAAAAATGAATTACTCGTATCCAAAAGGTCAGCATATATTACATACATGTGGTAATATATTCATAAGCTTCTTATTGATTTCTTTCTTTCAAGAAAGAAAATGCTAAAAATTTTTAATGTATTATTTCTACATAAAAATTTTTTGTTTTTAAGTGCAAACATTTCACAGACTATGCACACATTTCATTCCATATAAATGTTATTAATTTGCAATTTACAATGCATTATAAAAATTTTTAAAATACATGTCTACATAAAAATGATTTACTTAGATATTATTCATATAGGATGATTAAGAGTTTATTGGACAAAGTTTAGGAAGTGGTAGAGAACACTAGAAAAAACACTTTTTATATAGTAAATGGATCGATGCATGTAATGCAATGAGGTTTTCAAATATCAGAAATAAAACATCAAAACAAATTGTTTACATAGAGCAGGGTTACAGGAGCCTATTTACAACAATGAATTCAATAATTGCTCAAAACTGCATCCAAGAATATTAATATAAGCTTAGAGGCATTGATGGAGTGATTGGCTTGAACCATGGCTGATAGAGTTTCTTCAATAGGCAGTTTGTGATTCATCAATATTACATGTCAAAAGAAATATGTAATGTGTGACTATGTTATCAACTATGATGCCCGACTTTATGAATGCTGAGAAAGAAGAGCATGTATTAAAAGTAGAAAAGCAGCAAATGATAATACAGCATCACTATGTATGCACCAGGAGTGGTTACACTACTAATTTCTGAAACTGGTTTCTTCACTATTATCAGGAAAGAAATTAACTGACTGAGAGCTTCATGTCCAGACATAGATGAATTCATCTTGAGTCTTGCAGAAGACCAATTCAGTGAAAAAAACAAAAGCTACTGCATATCATGCAAGTTTGAATAAAACCACTATTTGGAGAGTTTAAACAAAGAACATTTACACTTATGTAATTTACAGAGAACTCAAGCTCTGAATACAGAAGATAGCTGTGCGTTGGCTTCTCAAAGTGTTTTTTGTAGCTGGACTTCACAGTTTATGTGCTGTTCACAAATGAGATGATTTTTATATTAAAAAAAGGGGGGAACGTCGCAGTGCGCAATGAACTGGAAGTTGATCTATCAGCACTATCCTCATCTTCAGGACAGATGTTTTTACTTTATTCGACTTATAATTCTTTACTAAATGTAGTGTTTCATCTCGATGTACTCAGATATGATTTAAATCAATTTCCTCGTCATTATAAATATCATGAATACACATCAAATAGTTTTCTGGTTGCAATTTTCTAATTTTGACTATGCATAATGTATGCTTTACGCATGTGTGCATTGAAAGAAATGTTTAATAAAGTAAACAAATAAATATTAAGCTTTTTTTTTTTTTTTTTTTTTTAATTTTGATACCCTTCAGATCCTAATTGCTCTTTTTTTTTTTTTTATAAATTACGGTTTCATATTTTTAATTGTATAATTTCTGCATGCCATCTAACCAGATTTAAATTGATGTTCTATAATCCGGAAAATCCCCTAATTTAGAATCGCCGAAGTCTCGACGAGTCCGGATTAAAGACTCTGTACTGTATTTGTAGTTCATTTTTAGGAGTTTTGTTACCAAATAGTTGGCTTGATTTTAAGCTGGGTATGTAACTATCAAATTTGAAATTTAATTTAGTCAAATTCTATAGAAAGAAACTTTGAAATTAATAAGCAACATTATTACAAGACACTGAATGCATGAGAAATCACTGAAAGTTTGTAAATAAAAATAAATGGAAATGCATAGAGAGGATATTCAGAAGAAGGTGTTTAAATTTTTGTTAAGTATTACTAATAATTATATATCAACCTGTTATGAAAAATTTCAGCAGTTTTATCATATGAGAAATCTGAATCCAGTAGAACATTTTTGGATTATTATGGAAAACATAACTGAACTAACTAGAAACATTTTTTTAAATGTTTGTATCATAGTAATATAAAAACTGCTTAAAATAATGTTGACATTTACAAGCAATGAAAGACATAGGAAAAGGAAATATATACTTTTCTCAATGACTGAATTAAGTGAACACTTTTTAACAGTAATTACATTTATTGCTAATGCCCTCATAGTAACTGCTTCTAAAAGTAACATATATTTCAGTTAACATACATAAAAAATGCTACCAAACATCTCCTATAACTTCCACAGGAGGCTCAAATCACAGACGTTTATCAATCAATGATCAAGGATATGATGAAATAGCTAGACATATTTTACTCTCATTAATAAAGAAATTCTCAAGCAAAATTATCTCAAAAGAAATACAAGATCATTATTAACAGAATTAAAATATGAAAACAAAACAAAACAAAAAGTGTTGACTTTTTTAATCAGATCTGTAAATCTTTTCTTTTTTAGGGGACAGTTTCAACAAAATCACATATACTTTAGATATACAGCATTTGAAACAAATACATTAATTAATTTGCTGTTCACTAGTTAAATAAACACTGTATCTCTCTGCTTAAGCAGCAGCCCTCATTTCCTTTTCATATTCAAACAACCTAACCCAAATAAATAATTTTCTGATTCAACTATGTAAAGTGAAACAATAGTGTTTACCTGGTAGGAGATCAATGCAGCTAACTATCCTAATCTACTAAAAGTAGTGATACTAACATATTATCCCATTGAATGTGAAACTATCGCCAAGCAACATGATTAAGCAAAAATTACGAGTAAGCATGATGTCACAACACATTCTTAACATCAGCACTTTCATTTGATGTAACCCCAACTGACTCTCAATAATCCACCTTTTGCTTTTATGAAAAAGGATATAAATTAACCAATACTGATACACTTTTTCCTTGCATTTTGAAAATAAATAAATAAATAAAAATAAAAAATAAAATAAAATTAAATAAAATAAATAAATAAATAAATAAAAAAGAAAAGAAAAAGATTAAAATTTGAAACCTGTTTTCTACAAAGAAGCAAATAGTACATTATTTTCACAGCTATGGGATTGTACCTGGGCATTAATGGACATTATATGGAACTTTATTTGCAAAAAGATAAACAATGGCGATAAAATGTGAAAAATTCTGACAGGAGAAGATTCATTCGAAAAGGAATGTTGGTCAAGGGCAGTAGATTCATATTTTTCATAGCATTCAGGTTTATTTACAGCTGGTCAAGAGAATTAACATCTACTGATTGAGGTAAAGAACAGTGGGCTATGGCAAACAAAACAATAATTGTTTGCAACAATTAAAGTGGGAAGTTTGTACTTAAAAGATTTTAGACAGAGCTTCCAGTAAAACCTGGAGCAGGTTTTAATAAGCTGCTTTGTCTGTTACTCTAAAAGCTGTTAAAATCGGTTAATTATATAAGTAAATAAAGAGCGATATGTTATACTTTGTTATATAAAGGGATGTTAGTTCTTTTAGAATTCTGTAGGGATGATTGGTTCAACATTCAGCATCTCAATCAACTTTCACGGTTTGATTTCACAGTCAATGGAACAACGTATAAGTACCAAAATAGTTAAAAAGTATCTTTCTCCACAAGCGAGAAGTATACAATTGAGAACAGTTTCAAAAATGAAAATCAAGTGAAAATTGTTTTCAAAAGTTGGTATAGTTTGTGAAAAGAGGTATAAAAAAGTGTTGTGAAACTTTTTTTTTTATTGTTATTATTTTTAAACTGTAATTTTACCAATTCTGAAAATGACAAAAATACACGAATTCCTTAATAAAGAAGCTTTGAAACAGAAAACTGATAAATTAGATTTAAAGAAATACATTATTTGTTATTAGATTCAAAAAATTTATTTTTAATTAAAACATATTTTACTATATATAGGTAATGATATTTAAAGTAAAAAATTTAATAAAAGCCTTAAAAGGCATGGAACTGTTTTTTCTTGTAAATATTTAGTTTATAGGGTAATCATAAAATCCAGCTCTTTTCAAATATTCAGTATCTAGGCCAGATATCCATTGCATTTCTATGTCTATGAATGCCTATGAATTTTTTGTAAGAAATAAATACTTATTTAAAGTATTTCTTAAAGCAAAAAACTTAGCTTCTTTTTTCATCTGCTAAGAACTGTTATATGTTCGTTACCTGCTAATAAATTTGCAAAGAAGGTATGGTCAAAATCTTCAAAATGTGCTTTGCCAGTTTTTTAAGATTTATACCAATTCTCACTGCTACTCTTCACTATTTTCTAACTAATATTGTATTATTTATTTAATATATGACATATGCATATAATATATCCTTTTGTATAATAACTTTATACATGATGCACTGCATTATTTTGCTATTATCTTTATATATTGAGGCACTAAATACATTAAATATTAAATTAAAAAAAATTTTTTTTTTAATTATAAAGTATATAAATTTTATCTTACATCTTGCAGCCCTAAGCTATACTGTCGGAGTTGCAGATTAAACGCTGCTTCACACTGTAATGAAACTCTTAGTATAATACCAAATGATCCAAGACTGCAGACAGCAGCAAGGAATAATTCCTTGTCTCTATCTGCTGAAAATTTCTTCACGGAACCATCAGATAACATCAGATCCAACTCTGTAACCTGAAATAAAGCAAAAATCATAATAGCAGTTTTCAGATTTCCGAAATGAACATAATGTCAAAAAATATGCCTAACCTAACTGCTAACTAAAAACTAATACTAACCAGAAATCAAACACTTCAAGAAATGCACTTCAAATATATATCAACAGATAAAGCAGATGCATACTAGTGATAAATGATTATGTGGTAAAAGAAAAATACTTTTACATGCTTTATTTTCTTAAATATTAATCCAAATCCTTCCAACTGGAAACATTGTTAAACTGAAATAAAATTTATCAAAACAGGTTAAACATCATGGGTGAGAGAATTTTGTAAATATAGTGCATTCAAAGATCATCTACAACCTATAGAAATTCAATTATGTGTTGAGTAAATGTGTTCTGTGCACTGCAAGTAATTTTCTCTGCAAAGATCGATAATCTTGCATTCTGTGCAGTTAAGCCTTTGATGCGTGTGATATTATTTTTATAATTTTTTAACTAAAAACTCTAGAAATTGAATATTATGATTCTAGAGACAAATAATATATGAATTAAAAAAAATCTACTCTTGCCCATTGCTCTGTGGGTGGTGGTCGCACTGGGAAACCACCGCGCGTCTAGGACTTTGAAACTTGCTGATGTAGTAGGGAAAAAAAAAACTTACCATTTTTCGCGCACGTTTCCAATAAATGACGAAATTTACGGATTTAAAAAAAATTTATGTAAGAATTGCATTATATATAATTTTTTACATTATTTTACAAAGTAAATTGTCAGAAAAAATTAAAAAATATACATTTATGTAATTTTTCTATAGCAGTGAAAATATAAATACCTACATAATAAGGACATTTGGATAAAAGGATTAAAAACTCAATAGAGATAAAAAAGAATTTTTGTTTTTTTTTTTTTTTTTTTTTTTTTAAATTTCAAAGAACAATTTTTTTTTTTTTTTTTTTTTTTTTTTTTGTGACACTGTTCAAAGCATGTTTTGTCTCTTTGGTACATGCATAGACCCACATTGCACGTTTTGCACATACATCTTGTCCTATGAGGTTTCTTCCTTGTGCTACAAAATGTACACTGCCTAGATTTAAATTTCACTGGTATATGTCCAGCATTATTTAGTTTCTTTTTCTCTGGCACATGAAATTTGTGGTTTTTTATGTTAATGGGGGGGGGGGCTTGGTCTTTTTGGTTTTGTAGGGATTGTTCGTTTCCCATTCATACTTATTTTATTCATATTTCGTCCCAAAATATTCAGAAAATATTTTTAATTTAAATAAAACTTTTACACAATTTCTGTTTTTAATTATAGCAAAGTATACTTACATTAAATTTAAACCGCAGGAAATAATTTATAAAATCACAATACTAGCTTGGGGAGCAAGTGTGTTGATGTCAGAGAAAAGTATTTGGAAAAGAAAGACCTTTTTACTAGGTAGGTGCATGTATTGTTTAGTTATAAAATAACTCTGTGGTTTCAAAGCAGTTTATCGATATCCGGGTAAAAATAAACATTCTTATTTGAAAAGCAAGCGAACACCATTGAGAAGCAAACACCAGTGGTTTCAAGGCGCGACCACCGAGCCTCTAGAAGATTGTAAGCATTGTGACACAATGGTCGCGCCCTGAAACCACATAGCAAATGCCATACATATAGAGGGTTCTTTTTATATATGCATTTTAATTACTGCAATTTTTTATTGTTTATGATAGAAATCATGATGTGCGATGACTAACTTTTGAAATTTAAAGTTGTTTATATTAATAAAAGGAAGTTATTTTGTCTCATCAAAAATGAATTTTGTATTAATACCTAAAACATATATGATTCTACAGTCATTTTGTGTTATTTAGATGTAAAAGATCAGTAATCAATTCATTTTCACTCAAAAATTTCGGAAAAAAAATTTGGAAATTGGTGCTTTCAGGGCGCGACCACCTCGCATCAAAGGGTTAATATGCAGCAGCTAGTTAGGTTAGTGACCTTGTCTAGTACTTTGAGTTCAATTTGTGTTCATTGCCTTTGAATGAGAAAACCATAACTTTTTGTAAACTTTCGAACACATATTTCTCATCGAATACATCTTTTACGAGCATAGTGAGTGCATACAGATAGTGAAAGATCAATTTTCTATTAGATTTTCAAGTTCACTGTTTTCTAATTGACATAGCATAACAGCTAAATGAAGAACTAGCAAAAGTCTTCCAGAAAAAGAAAAATTGCATGCATATATATTCAGATGTTAATGAAAAACATTTTCAACAACTTACAATAAGGGTAAGCTGTTTTTGTCCTCATGCATGACAGCTGCAAGTTTCCAAATATACTGCATAAAAATATATTACAAATATTTCAGTTTACAAGAATATTATTTTTAATCAACTTAATACAAAATATTCTGCATCTTTGACATAGCTACATGAAAAACTGGAAAAAGTCTTCCAGAAGAAGAGGAATTGCATGCATATATGTTTAGGTGTTAATGAAGATCATTTTCAACAACTACACTGTTTTTATCTTCGTTCATGACAGGTGCAAGTTTTCCAAATGTACTGCATAAAAATATGTTACAAATATTTCATTTACTAGAATGTTATTTTTAATCAGTTTAATATAAAATATTCTGTATTGATAAGAACAAAAATTTGAAAACTTCTAATAACAAATAAGAATAAAAAGTGAAATAAACACAATGCACCATAAAAGTATTAAGTATAGATTTCTTGTTCAAGTCTTGCAATAGCAAATTATGAAATCCTACAAACATTCATTTCTAAACCTACAAGCATCAGCGATGAAGTGGGTATGAGCTCTGTGAGAAACTGTGAAGAATTTATGCACTCAAGCCATTTCTCTTTTCAATAAACAAGTCAGAGATATGCTTTAAATCATTTTCTCAATGATGATCAAAGAGTTGATTAATACACACACAATGTTGAATAATGACTAGTGATATTTTTATATCCCTTTTCCACAATTTTTGTTCAGATTTGTTTTCTTTTAGTAACAAAGACCTGGAACAGCAATGCTACTATCTTCGGGCTACAGGGAAGGCTCTATGCACTTTATTTCACTTTCAATTGAACTTTGGCTAACATATTGTGTCTTCTCTGTTCCAAAATGTTAACATTTTCTGTACTATTTCTATAATACTTTCTTCCACTACTATTCTGTCCAATCTCTCTATTTTCTAGTTAATCCTAAATGTTTTATAAAATTTAGCTTACACCATAATGTCCTTTTGTAACTCACACAACTAATCCTCTTCATAATTTCTTGTTTTCTTGAATATGGTACATGCTTATATTTTTCTAAGAAACATTTTCAGCCTTTTCAGATTAATTTACAAAGTTTCTCTTTCTGAAACTATTTAGCAGAAAGGAAAAAATTGTACCATAATTAATGAGTTTTCCTCTTTAGACAATCTTTCTTTGCTTCTCCCTGTTCATATATCTAAAAACTAATTTCTTTCAAATGAGGGACATATCATGGCATTTGATTTAGAAAGAAAAAATACTCTTCATAATAAAGAAATTATTATGAATCATCATTATCAAAGAAATTATTATGAATCTTCATTATTTTTAGAAAATGCAGTATGTTACAAGTTACAGTATCACATACTGCCACCTTACCAGAGTAGAACATCCTGTTGCCAATCTACTGAGTTTTTGAAAAAAACTAATACTTAAAGCATGAATTTTACACTGCTAAAATTACAAAATTACAAATAACAATTTTATAAGTTCAGTCTCTTAAGAGTTTTAATCTCATGATCACATGCAGATCGTTTTGGTAGTGTCTCAGAAATTTCATTTACCTTACCAAATTATGGATCTCATAACTTTTGGAGTGAGCTAAATCTTTTGTTTAAGACTTTCCAACCAACGGACTCTTTGAATTGGTTGCAACAGTATATCCCGTGCTGTATTGACATACATAATTTTAACTTTACCGTCGTGGCCCGGGATAAGGTCTATCACTTTAAGATGTGCCCAGTGTAAAAGCTTTCTGTTATTACTTCCAATTAGTACAATGTATTCAATATTTATCGTCTTTGCCAATCTTTTATTGACCTCTACCTTTAGCTGGCCTAAGTATTCACTATGAAATCTTCACTGTAATTCTTCTCTCAATCTTAGGCTGTACTTGAACCGTTTTTTGAAATCTATCCAAATCAGGTACTCCAAATTCTTCTTGAACATCATTCAGGAACACATTCGGAGTAAGAGAACTGATTATTTGGATCTTCAAACATGTAAGTTAGAGGCTGAGAGTTGATGATTCCTTCATACCCACAGAGAATTGTTTTTAATTCTTTGAAATCCAGCAACACTTCTTGGGAAGTGTTGCTGGATTTTGTTTTAGTACCAGTTGTTTATCGAGTTAGAACTTGTTTTAGTACTAGTTGTTTTAAAACACCTATCATTATCTCCCACTATGGTACAGAAAAAGGAATGAACTTCCGGCTACCTTCTTTGCAAAGTTGTAAGCTTAAATTTTCTTCCAGTTAATGTCATCTAAAGCACTTGTTGCTTCAACAAAACTACTTCCATTGTTACTATAAATTACAGATAGCCATCCTCTATGCCTGATAAATCTTTGGAACCTTTGAAGAAAGTGATCAGTTTGCAAAGAAGAAATCAGCTAGAGATGTAGCATTTCATATATTTCATATGTAAATAGACACACATCCATGCTTTCTTCTGGGTCCATTTCCCATGGCCTTTGAGGTATAAAGGACTAGTGAAATCTACACCTGTTTCTTCAAAAGCCTTTGCATTACACACACAATCTTCAGGCAAGGTAGTTGGTAAAGCCTCCAAATTATTTACTTTGTACCATTTTCACTTTAAACATAGATTAAGAACAGCTCGGATGATATGACAACCACCTAAAATATAATAACGGTCTCTAAAAATTGTTCTCATTATCTGAGTACCAGCATGGGGGAGTTTAAATATGTATCAAAAATCGATCTGAATACAACAATATTGTAGTTAGGTA